GAGTGGGGTGTGGAGCAGCTCATATGATCAGTTTAGCCAGGCACTATATACACTGAAGAGGGCACAGACCTGTAAATCATGATAGTGTCACATACAAGTGCTATCACCAGAATGCATATATTAGATTCAAAACAACACACTCTCTGTTAATTCCCCTATTAACATTGACATTTAGAGCGTCATTCCTTTGAGTACTCGGCACTAGTGTACAATACCTTTTCATTAGCTCTTACTGTGTAGGCCTTGGAGGAGGAGAGGTGACTGGGAATCCAAGTGTTGCTAGAAGAGGGGACAGACAGGCAGGAGAGGCAGTGATATATTGGTTATGATTCCTGATGCCTTCCAAGTGTTTGGAGTTAAATCACAGGTGCTCCCAGAGAAAAAGGCCGTTCAGCTGACTTACTATGGTCCTGTGTGACGAAGGAGTAGGAGATACACAATGCATTTATCATGGCATGGACCAGTGCGTTTGACCCATCAGTTCAATCACTCAGACCAACTCTAAAAATAATCATAATGTGTCTAGAGCAGGGGTCTCTAACCTTTTTTTCTGCTGAGCTATCTTAACAAAACAAAAATACTAAAGGGCTACTAATTTTAGCCATTGCATGAAATTGTGTAAGTACAAGAGCCACAGCAAGCCTTAGATGGGTACAGTTAGATACTTATTATTCATTAATTAGGGCACAAAGGCACAAAAATGATACATTTACAATGGTAATATGCATTAAATTCATATTTTTTTTGTTATTCAGAGTTCAGTATAATTCAGAAATCCCTTGCGAGCTATTTGAAAGTGAGACCTACTGGTAGGTCTCAAGGAGGTACCTTGAGAACTTGATGCCATTTTAAGCTTCAGATAAGTTAGATGGCCTTTCAGATGCTAATTTCTCTTGAAATGAATACGTTAACTTTATGTTAAAAACTGAACAGTGCATTTGAAGGACAGCTTTAACACTGGACTGTCAAGTCCATGTAATATTGCATGTAAAATGCCAAGTCTGCTACAGTTTTTTACTTATTCTCAGGTCATTGGTTTAATTTGCACGTTAATGTGATTGCTGATAATTGTTAAGCCTGCAGTGATTAATAAAGTATGTTTGGTGTTATCCGCCTTATTTGCCCCCCGCTGGGATATTTCTCTTAATGACAACAGCTCCACGGGACGTGCTCTGGGGGTAACCTCCCGACACATACTAATGAACCACCACTCGGTCACTTTTACAACCATACATTATTGCTGCACTTTACACTGACATCAACAGTGTGCATGCTTTAAAGATATAATTTTTTAATGCAAATGGCATGTTTATAAAAAATATTGCCTTTGCAGTGATACCATCCCCACTTGTTACAAGAGGTTATGGCCACTTGACACTTGTCTCACAAAAACCAAATAATCTTGTATAGATTGACATGACTTTCTGCAAACATACTGGAGTCTTTTTCTACTCCTGACTAGATTTTACATAAGGTGTATATATTTAACGTCTGCTCCATGGTTTAAATTGAGCACATTGTTTGCTTTGGTCTTGATAGTAAAACCTTCCTCAACATCAGCATGTCACTGACACATGTTTTTCACGCTTTGTGGTCCAGTTAAAGACCCTTCAGGATTCTAAAAGAATATAGGGACTGGCTGGTAATTCCTCTATTAGGGAGCCATCTCCAGGCCACAGAGAGATAAAGTTATTTAAATGCACAAAAACTTCTTATCTAAACTTTTAATACCATGGTATGCATAACTTTGCCCAATGATGCTTTTCTCTGAAGCATCATTGGCTATTTTAGTTGTCAAAGATCTGTCCACTGACAACAAGGTAAGGTAACAACCTTGCATTTTAAATGACCCTCCAGTAAACTCTAATGTAACCAGGCAACCATAGGTGATTCCAGGGAGTGTTAATGACTGGCTAAGAAACTGTGACCCACATAATTATTACACCTAAAATGTGTCTTTATTTTTATGGGTTTTTTTTGTCTTAATTAACTATAATGACAAAAGCGTGTTCATGAGTAAAATTTAGATCCTCCCCCAGCAGCTTCTGAAGGTCCAAACCTGTGGCTAATTACCTTGTTCGGGATCAATACTGGACAGAACGATCAGAGGTGGTTTGGTGTTGGGGGTTTGAAGCACATTTCAGTCGGTCCATTGGTTATCAATCTAGTGTAAAAAATATAAAATGTAGATATTTGGTCAATTCACTGATGAGACAACCGTTGTTAGTTCTACAATGGAGACATTTCAGAGTTGCAACAGAAAAGTACAAAAACAGGATAATACTGTTAATATTTTACGGCCAGTGGAGCTGTTGTATTTTGGCCAAGGTGTTATTAATCAAGTTATTCTAGCAATGTTACACTAGATTGTTTAAATTTAGTAATGAGGTTTAAACAATACTGTATAGCCTGAGTAAATAGAGCAATCTTCTTTTGAGATTTAAGGCATTTGTTGCAAAGGAGAAAAATAGCATTTACTTTTGTAAGTTGCTTTAGTAAAGTACCCTAATAAGGCCTAAGTCATAGCTTAATTATCTGGTCTGTGGGTTATTGCCATGGAAATGAGGGTAACATAGGCCTGGTGAAATGTCTTCTCCATTACCAGGAGTCCTCTTAATTACTCCCTAGGACAACAATTTCTAGCCTATTTACCTTTGGCAGCTGCAGTGACTCACTCACTCTATAGTACTGTATATAAGTCAAGATAGTTCTACAGAAAAAGCTCTCAGCCTTCAACCAATTCATTTATTGGGTTATAACACCTGATTCATCCTTTCACCAATCCTTCATGGAACAAGCACACAAATATATTGAATAGTCCAAACATTCTGTTAATTATAATGTTAGTTATATTCTGTAGCTGTCTTCCTTGACTCAAAGAGATGCTCTGTCTCCACGGTGACAACACATTTACATTGTAGCCATGGACACCAGCACTTCTCTCACCTCGCATGGGGCAGTCTCCTGCAAATAAAACACGCATAACTCATGATCATGTGATGTCAGACAAGTTCAGTTATGTATTTATGCGACAAAAATACTGTAAATGTAATTGGCTGCTATTGAGAGTAGAGATAAAGCCACTGTACTGGTTAAAACATGCTGACCAACAGGAAAATCAATGAGCATCAATGGCTTCTGTGTCATTAGTCATTTTTTTGAAAGAGTCATAATTATACTGAGCCAGTTCATCCGTCTCGGTGGGTGAACTGCGTGAGGTGATTGGTAAGTGTGTCCTTCGGCCCCATAATATTTCCAGTTGTCACTAGTTCTCATAACTGTTTCTAGCTGACTCTGTTTTACAGAGATGCAGTGGTTACTATTCAATTCAAGTAACTGATCAAGGAATTGACTGTTGGATAGAAAGCCCCCAACCAAATGTATGTGAATGAGAGCTTAAAGCAATATTTTGTTGAAGGTGCCGAATTAATGATCCATATGCACCTGTTCACATTGCACTAGAGCTAAATCAAAGTAGAGAGAGGTAAATGTTACATAACACATATCAGACACAAATCAGTTATTTTAGTCCAGTACCTAGGGATGGGCATTCGATGAAATTTTCTTAATCGATCGTCGGAAGAATTAATGATAGATTATCGATTAATCATTAACGTTTTTATATTAAAATGATCATCATTATTATTACTATCTGCACTAATCTGCATAAATAAATTCAACTTTACGACAAATAAACCGTAACCACTCTAGAGCCACATCAGCCCGTTTATTATAATGTGTTTAATTCAGTTTTGCGCAACTCTCACAGAAACGAAACTTAAACCGCATCGCTAATTTGCATAAACTAAGGGAAGATAAAAATACAGCTCTTGTGCGTTGAGGCGGTTCAACTTCTGTCGGATTAAAAGACATGACTCAGTGGAATACAGGTTAGTGTGACTAGATTTGCGTTTGTCAAAACTTTTTCCCACTGGACACCGAAACATATGTGCTGCTTTGTACACTGTGCACATGGACTCACACTTGTCCCGACCGGAACGGAAAGCGTGGAATTTCTTGTACAAGTCGTTAAATGCGCATGTACGTTGCAGGCGAACTGACTGTTTGTGTTTGCTCGCTCCTTCTGAGTGCAGAGAGCTACTTGTACGGACCCCTGTTTGGTCACGCTACGCACATCAACCTACATTCGGTTTGTCGATTAAAATTAACGTAATCGATGAAATTCTTAATGATCAATTATCGATTAATCGACTAATCATGCCCATCCCTACATTATTTGTCTTGATTCACAACAATGGAGGATATGTTTTTGTTTGTTTTGTTTTGTTTTGGGGGGGGGTTGTTTGTTTGTTTGTTTGTTTTTTAAATCCTTTTCCAAAATAGAATGTTTGCACATCACAAAAGACATCAAATCAAATCAGTGAGGCTCAAGGGCAGTACTGAACCACCAACAGCTGTAAGACTGCACAGGTCTGTCTGCTTCCTCCAAGGTCATACTCTGAGTGATCAAGATGTAAAATACAGCAATATCAATACACATATGAGGAGGACAATTAAAGTCAGGCGTGGTTTTAGGTAGAGTAAGCGCATAAAACGTATTAACAATGTGCCCTTGATATGCTAGTTTTTGAGCTATGCATCAGGTGTGTAGTGTTAATGTTAAGATGATATGACAAGATATTTGCTTATATTATTTCCTTTTTCGACAATGATTCTTCACGTACATCTAGTCATTTTCAATTCGACGGTGTGCATATTATTCACAAGGATATCATTAAATTGTAATTTCCTTGGTGGCAAGTTGTGCAATTGCCTACCTTCTTTATCTTGCATTCTGAGTTTACATGCAAGAGCGGCACCTGGTGGACAGAATCAGAATAACATAATCAAAATTAGAAATAAAATAAAAATACAGTACAATGGCCGTTTTGTATTATTGTTATATATTGCATTAATTGTGCAAAAAATGTAAACGTTTTAATTTTACAAAGAACTATTGTGCAGGGGCAAAACGTGTACCGGAACTATTAGCCACGCACTACCTGCACAACACGGAAGCTTTTGAACAACACACCCAATGCTAACCAGCTGTGCGAGTAATGCTAGCTCAACCGGTTTCTTCAGATATTGGGAATTGTTTTTTATATTTTTATCTAGACAAAGCTGTCGTTCACAATTCTTGTGCACGGATTAATGCTATGGTGTAGAGCTGTTGTTCTGGCTTGTGACAAAAGCATGTTGTACTTGAGACGCTGAAAATGGAGAAGAGGTGAGTTAAAAGCTAACCTTTGCTAAGCTGATACACTCATCACTTCATGTGGTGCAAGTGGCAGTCAGTTTTGTGTAGGTTAGGTTACACGTCATCTTAAATATAGGCAAGATTGGAGAGTTTAAGTTGAAGTCTAACATTGAAGTGTTGCGGCTATATCATAGTTAAATTCTTGGGTTAACTGCTAATAGTGTGCAGAAATAACAAAGCGACGCGAGAGTTAATATTTACTGTAAGATTCCATTGTGTATAAATAATGACCTTCATTGTTGGTTTGTTGTGTATTTTTTTTCGTGTACAGATCGAGCGTTGTGTGACTACTGTGTGTGGCCCTGTTATGGAGAAGCCGTGGAGATTGTGGGGGGCTCTGGAGCGCTGCACCCTCTGTCTGGTGTCTTGGTCCTGGGGCGCTTGCCGCGTCTCTCTTCTGGCTCTCATCCTCACATTTCACCTGTATGGAGGCTTCTTTCTCTTAGCTCTCATCCTGGCCTCTGTTGCTGCCATACTTTACAAATTCCAGGATGTGCTTCTCTACTTTCCAGACCAGCCCTCTTCATCTCGACTCTATGTCCCATTGCCAACAGGTATTCCTCATGAGAATCTCTACATCCGCACCAAAGATGGTGTGAAACTTAACCTTATTCTGCTCCGATACACTGGAGGGGACGCAGTTCCTGGAGTCACAGCTGGCAGTCAAAGCACCTCTTCTCCACCAACTATTCTTTATTTTCATGGCAATGCTGGCAACATTGGCCACAGAGTACCAAACGCTCTGCTTATGCTGGTCAATCTGAAGGCCAATGTAGTGCTGATGGACTACAGAGGTTATGGGAAAAGTGAGGGTGAGCCAAGTGAGGATGGGCTTTACTTGGATGCAGAGGCCACACTGGACTACGTTATGACTCGACCTGATCTGGACAAGACTAAAGTGGTGTTGTTTGGCCGCTCGCTTGGAGGTGCTGTGGCTGTGCGCTTAGCTTCTGCCAACCCCCATCGCGTAGCTGCCATTATTGTGGAGAACACCTTCCTGAGCATCCCTCATATGGCATCTACCCTCTTCTCATTCCTGCCCATGCGCCTCTTGCCCTTGTGGTGTTACAGGAATCAGTTCCTCTCATATCGGCAGATTCTGCAGTGCCGCATGCCCTCTTTGTTTGTGTCTGGTCTTTCTGACCAGCTCATCCCGCCTGTCATGATGAAACAGCTCTATGAGTTGTCTCCAGCACGGACTAAGCGCTTGGCTATTTTTCCAGAGGGCACACACAACGACACATGGCAGTGTCAGGGCTACTTTGCTGCACTGGAGCAGTTTATGAAAGACTTGCTTAAAAGCCATGCCAATGAAGAGAGTGCTCAACCTTCTGCGAGTGTAACTATTATTTAAAACTGTTGACTACAAAATAAGGCAAAGAATGTACATTTGTATCCATTTGTCTGCAGCATTATTTTATCACACTTTATTACTTTGTAAATGTAATTGTTATGAAAAATCTTTAAAGATTTATGAGATGATGGCTCTGCCGCTTTATAGGTGTGTTGTGGTGCAGCTATGAATGCATGTAAAACTTATGATGTTTTCTGAAAGATCCCAGAGTAGACCTGATCACTATAAAATGCTCCCTAATAATTAAAAGAATTACAGACTGAAGCAGGGTTCGCAACACAAGTTACTTTCGTTAAGACCTACTCTGTACATTTTGTTTATAATGAATTTTTATCTGACCTTCTGATGTGTAAAGATATAATTTCAAATGTGTGTGACACTAGGCAGACATGTAACTACTAGTACACAAACTAGTACTTACTGGAGGTACTGGAGATGACATGTATACCAAGAAGTCTCACACATACTGTATAGCTTTGAAGTTCTTCATTTGATTCTTTGTTGTGTGTCACTTTGCAATATTTAATAGACAAAACAGTTGATTGTGGGTAATGGTGTGAGCCCATGATTATCTGACGCTCTGGCTGTAGTCTGTTGGAGGGCTTTTAATGAGCTAATTAACCTTTGGTGCATGTCTTCCAGGGGTGGAGCAGAGTCTGACAATGAAAACACTGTTATCTGCTTGGGCTTACAAAATGCAGCACACAGCAGCGCTAAAAGCCATTTGATTACACATCTCAGCCATATCTAAACTGTTTGTATACTGTACCTGACCCCGGATATGACTCACTGAATGATTTAACATGTTTGTCACACGATGTTAAAATAACATTAAAATAATAATTAAAATTAAAAGAAAAACTATACTAATAATAATAATAATAATAATAAAGCTGTTGGTGGATGCATTTACAAAGACACAACTCAAGATACTGCAAAATGTGATAATTCAAGAGATTATAAGAATTGGGGACATTATTGTGACAGAATTGTGATTTTCAAAAACTAGAGGAAACTAGCCGCAACAAGCTTCTCCTTTGCCTATGTATTTACCAATATTGTCGTAAAACTATTATGACCCATTTCTTTTTCATAATGTGAGTGGCACCAAAGCATCATATTGTTTAATATGTTAAATTCATTTATTTTTTGTACAGACTAAATTCAGGGGATTTTTGTGATTAGTTTCATTCCTACTTATTTAATTGGTAATGTGTTAATTTGATTTTAAGTGCTTACTTGGGCCACATAGCATAGTTTGAATGTGTTACTGAAAATATCCAACTGAATGTTTGGTTCTAATTTGATGTGGCAGAAATACTGCAGGGCATCTTTGTGTTCACCAGTAAATCGAGCTGTTGTCTGTATATGAGAAGTGAGTCTATTGTACTGAGGCAGCACAGTGGTTAATGGACATCCTTTAATTACTCCACATTAATGACATCTGAATGAATCATTGTTTTATACTCATAAAATACTCGTGTCAGTTTGAGTGCTTTTCCATTTTTCTATTTCAAAACATCAAACTTATTTTGTAAGCACACTTTCACTTTCTATTTTCTGTACTGTAACATGCAATAAATTGATACATTAAGTTGAAGTTCATCTATGTTTTTGTAGGGACAGACACTTTAAATTTAGTCTATTTAAATTGTGTGCACTTCCTTCTTTCAGTTCACAGTTGCCTCACATATATGGTATAAACTAATATTCAGCCTTCAAAGACCAGAGCAGAAGTATTCAGAAGAAGTACTACTATGTATACAAAACTAGTTGTAGTCACACAGATATTTTTTACTTTTTAGGTAAAGTTAATTGTCACTTACATTTACTAGTACATTACTTGTTCAAAATGAGTATACATTATGCACCAAATATGTGCATAAAAAGTGGATGCTTTGTGCAAAATATAAGGATCCTCATGGTTAGAAAAAATAGTGTGGCCAAGTTGGTTATCAAATTTTTTTTTTTGTTTTTTTTTAGATCAGGAAGCAGCGTTTGATTAATTGCATAATAAAGGAAATAAAGGAAGCTACTGTACTCTGCCTCTGCTCGCTGCACTGGTGTACACACATCAGAAACGAAAGCAAAGGAAATTGGAAGTTTTCATAGAAACAGGCACGTTTTAGAAAATATAATTAAAGTCGACATCTACTGAGGCGGAGCGTGAACTGAGGTCAGTTAGGAGGAGCTGTTCTTGTGCTATGTCCTGAGTGTGCCAATGGCGGCAGGTGTGAAGCCGGGGAGCGATCCGCAGAGGAAACTGTCCTGGCCTGTGCTCTTGCTCATATTAACAGCTGTCACCTCCTCCTCGCTCTCCGCTCTGTCGCTTTACCAGCTGGTGGTCCTCCGTGCAGATGTGGAGTGGCTCAAGTCTGAAGTCTGCCACAGGAGACAGGAGGGACAGGAGGACGGGCATATAGGCCAGGTAAGTTCCATTGTGAGTAGGGGCAAATGCTAAATTATTGAATATTCCATACTCTAATTATTCTATGTAGTTCTACTATTAGTTTTATTTTATTATTTTGTCTATGTGTTCTTTAGATGGATAATATTTGTCCCAGAAGCAACCGAGAGACTCTGCAAAGGCTTGAGTCAGAGCATGCTTCAATACTGAGAAAAAAAAGACAGAGCACTGGTAAAGACATAATAGGTAATTCAAATGTTCTCTAACTAGTATATATACTGTACATTATGAATGGTGTGGAGTATTTTCATTTAAGTAATGAATACAGTATTTTTGTATTTGAAATTATGACGGGATTTACAATTGAAACACTTAATGCAGGACATATGGCATTGATTCTTGCAATAAAGATGCACTACCCAACTTTTCACCTGCTTGTCTTCTTCTATATCTGGAGACAAGTAATTGATGCCACCAGTCCAAGTTACAGGTCAAATATGTGGAAAAGCAACCCCGCTCACAATAAGAATGCATGTTTTTTAAAGGTGCACAATGTAACTTCTAAGGTGGAGGGTCAGCTACTTGTTTTTCTCCATGGAGATGTTTTTTTCTTTGCCTGTAGTGTTCCACATTATGGCATTAAACTTATCTGCTTTGCATGTATTCAGTAACAGTTGTTTTATAGCTAAAAAATTTTGAAAAACTTGAATTTCAAGTTTATTTCCATACTGTATAACATTTAAGGCAAAGTCTTTATATCTCCTTGGAGACAAGCATTTGGCAGACTCTGCACCAGAAAAGTTTATGTGCACCATTAAGGTATTTTCAGCAATAGAAACACCAAGAAGGCGGGTCATATGGGGTCATAAGAAAAGTTAAATAGTGCACTTTAAAGTTAAAACTAAAAGCAAAAGTAAATTGTCCTGTTTCCTACTAAAATGCTGTGTAAATTCCAGTTAAATGTGATTGTGATCTTTGAACGGGTGCTCAGGAAATCCACAAAATAGTAGGGCAAAAAGTCCTAACTTCAGGATTCAAATTTCCTATTCATTTGTTGTTAGTATCCCAGCCTTGTTTGCAGCTTATGGCAAATGGCAACAGGAAACCCTTCAATAAAGGTACACAGAGTGTTTTTTATTATGCATTTAAGTTAATATATATTTGGATGGAAGCAGGCTATAGTTTATTCATATTGTTTTCCTATTTCTATTATTATCTAGAATTTGACTTTGATGAAGCCACTGGTATCCCCTGGCAAACAGGCCTGAAACGAGGTACTGCCCTGGAAGAGGAACAGGATAGAATACTGATCCTACAGGAGGGCTACTACTACGTATACAGCCAGGTTAGTAACATGAACTTAACACAAGAGGGTGCTCCTGAGTTGTAAACCACTGCCCAGCTGTGTGTGTAGAAAGGGACTGCTCTTTGCATTTAAGAAAGTCAGATTTATTTTAATACATAGTTAGTAGTATAAAAATACATATTAATATGTCATTTTTATCTTGAGACACAGGTCTACTACAAGGACACCCAAATCGCCATGGGCCAAGTGGTCATCAGGTGGAAGGCCAGTGTGGTGGGGAATGAGGCTTCTCATGTGGTTTTGTTCCGCTGCATCAAAAACATGAGACATGAATACTCCTTTAACACCTGCTTCACTGGTGGTGAGCATATGCTACTGTTTATGTGAAGCACAGGTCAACTACTTATGCAGAAGCAACAAGCAGGAATTTGTTATGGTTTAGTTTTTTTTATCATTCATTCTGAGGATGTGAATGGCTTTCTATCTGTCAAGTTGGGGAAAAAATAACCAAACACAATTTTTTCTACTTAGGTGTTGTGAAGCTGGAAACTGGGGACCACTTGGAGCTGCTGATTCCCAGGGCCAAAGCTAACATTACCCTGGATGGAGAAGGCACTTTCATGGGTGCAATCAAACTAGTGTGACATATCGCAACTTAATCGTCATTAGTGCTATCTTGTACAAGGATGCATTTCTTTTATTAACAGTAATTATGTCTTCCAAATCAAATATCACCTCATGACATGATCACCAGTTTTTATAAACAATTGTTTGTAAATATTTCACATATAAATCACCTCTGCACAATAGATGACATCATCTGGTGTAGATTGATTGCTATTCTTTATGGTATCACTAGAGGGCGCTTCAAAGAGGATCTGCATCCTGAGAGAGCTAAAGCAAGCAGGGAGAGATGAAGCTATAAACCTGTCTGAATTGTTATTGATGCTCTGTGTGTGGCAACTTCATGAGAGGCGCTGGTGAATGAAGAGGGACAGCCTGAAGAGACTTGAGTTCCTGAGAAGTGCTGGACAGATATTTGCATTAGGCAGAAGAAACAACTGGGAAGCTATCTATGTCAGTGCATTTCTCCAAATACATTATGCCTGGAGAAAGGATTTACACAGAAAGACATTTTTTTGTGGAACTCAGCTACATAATTAAACAAAGTTTGTATGTTCATAGTCTGTTAAAGCCCCATCATGTAATGTTGTTGCCAAAAAAACTGCTAAAATAAAGCTTTTTTTCAATCTTGTAATGCACTGAAAATGCAGAGAAAAAAAACATCTTGCTTTTTCCATGTAAATGTTGTTCCTTTGGCTATAATATTTCACAATATGGTATTGAGCTAATATATCTACATGGAGAAAGTTTTGAAAAATAGTTTTAACTTTCTACTGCATGCATCCTCCAGAAAGTGACATAGTGCTGCTTTAAGTATTAATCTGCCATAATGCAAGAAAATAAACCTATACAAATATTTTTTCATCATGGTTGTCTCAATCAGCAATCCACAATAGCAAGTAGTAAATAAGAAATAGTAATATCTGTAAATCTAATGCCCAGACCTGAACTTAAACCACTGACCTTCTGTATGTAGTACATGCTCTATCAATTCAACCTCAAGGTCTTGAGATCTCTAGAAACCACTAAAATGAATACATTACTGATCCCTTAAAGTGTGAGTAACTGACCTTGTGATCTAACAAAATACTGGTTACACTGGTATTATGACATTCATCAAACCATACTTATTTTCCCATAAGTGTGGATGCTTGGGTATAGTAAGGTTCTCATTAACTGTAAAAAAAAAAATCAGCTTGATATAGTTCTTTGTCGTTGTGGCATTCACTTTCTCTGCAGTGACTGGGTCAGCCAGACACACTCAGCTCTTGTGTCCAGTGGGGCACACTCAGACAAAGCCTGGTGGGTGGTCATTTCTTTGGAGAGTACTTTGTCCAAAGAGTCATGGCTCCATTTGACAAGGAGTACGATGCACAGCAAGGCAGAGAGGGGGAAGGAGCAGAGAAAAGCTCTGAAGTACATGCCTGAGGTGGGACATTTTGTTGTAATGGAGAAGTATTAGTGAAAAGAGAGTACAGCAGTGGCAGTAGTGAAGAACACAGGCCTATAGGGGTGTACTGGTCACCAAGGTCAGGTGGCTCTTTGATGCTCTGGTAAACAGTACAAGCGGCTGTTCAAACACCAATTCGCTTAAAAAAAAAAAAGAAAAAAGAGCAATAGAGAAGGGTTAGATGGAGGAAGCTGCACCAGTCTCACCATAATGGGTAAAATGTGACAGGCTTGATGGTCCCCCTCCTTCCTCCGGGCCAGAGATGTCTTTGTGCGGTGCCATGGCGACGGGTGGTGTGTTGGCGGAAGCTGATGTCATTGTGGGCTCGGCTCTGAAGACAAACCGAGAAGGAGGAAATGAGACCTGCTGTGTACACACGCTGCCAGTGTTTGTGGTCCGGGCTCACACACAGCACGGGGGGGCATCAGGCGTATTGTTGTCTGCAGGGAACAAAAGTCAGGAGAAGTTACACAAATCATGACATTAGTATTTTAAACACGAGCAAAACAGTTACCTCTAAATACTATTTCTTTAACAGATACATATCATATTTTTGTTCATACTAATATAAATACTGGTCTAAAAATGGCATGCATAATTATGTAAAGTGGATAGACTTTGACAGATGACAGGGGCCAAAGGTTATCCACAAACTCAAAAGCACAGAAAAGTACCAAGACACGAGTTAGTGAAGCAGATATGGTAGTAAAACCCCATTTTCACAAGCACCCTTAGTTAGTATGGATACCAGCAACTCTCTGTCTCTGCTGTTTTTGAATGGTAGTAAATTAATTCGTACTGTGGACCTTAAGAAAGCATACTCACGCTTATCACAAAATCTTTCACCCTGTAACTTTTAAAGAGCCTGTATTATGCGATTTTCTGATCTGAGTTGTGTTTTGTTTCACTCACACATGTTTAACACACAAACCCTGCATGGGCTGGGTTCTTTTCTCAAATAGCAAACATCTCAAACATCTCAAACACCCTTTCCATGTTATGTGGCGATACAAGAAGTACTCCACTATGTTTTTAGGTAAAAGGTAGCTGTAAACTTCAAATCTACAGCTTCATGACATCACAAGGTGGAACAGAGTATTTTGAGCTTTGGAGATGAGACAGACTAATAATAAAGGATAACTGAAATGTGTGAATGAAGCAAAACACAACTCCAGATATGTTTTTGATGAGGCAACAACATTATAACATTGCTTAAAGCTCACAAAAGATAATTTATAATATTGGACCTATAAATCAAAGTTGGAGAATATTACAGTGATGATTTTCTATTTAAATTCTGTCCATCCTGCTTTACTATCTGTCAACCAGAACAAATTGCGTGCATTGCCCTTGACAAATTTTGGCAACATTTTGTACTTGTGTCATATTTAAGGATTACTTTGATCTGCAGCAGTCAGCCCAGAGTAATCAGGCTGATCCCAGACCCTGCAGCAGAACTGGCGAACATTACCACATGGATTTCTCATTTAAGTGAGGATTTGGTTTTACCCATCCGCACTTCCAAATTCCCAACACTGTTTCCTGTGGTCTCCATAATTTTTAAATCTCTTCAGCTTGAGAAGACACTAATTGCCGCTGATCTGGAAAATGTGATAATAAGAAGTCTGTAGTGGAAGAACGGATATTTGTGCATAAAAGTGTTACAGTTAAATAGGGTTTAAATTAATTTTGTCTTAAAAGGCTACTGCGCTGGGAGGAAAATGAAAACGAGAAGTATTTAAGCAGATAATTTTGAGCGTTTTGTCAAGGTCAGTGGTTGAACTGTGGGTGTTGTGCACATGATAGATGAGACACACACAGAAAAATGTTTTGGATTGCCACAACCGACCCCCCCAAACACACACACACTGCTGCTTTCCAAAAGAAAATCTGGCTTTCAGAGCAGGTTTGTTTCCACAAAATGCCTGCCTTTCATATTTTGTTGATGTCAAACTCAACGAACTCAGTGTGTACAGTCAATAAGACATTCAACGGTTGCTCTTTGAAGTTCGAACCAGAAGCACAAAAATGTTATAAAGTTCACATTGTTAAACTGCTTTTAACTTTTGAAGCAGATTTAAGTTAAACTATTCTCAATGTTGAAGCCGTGTACAATTACAATATATTAAAGGTGGACTACGTAATTTTTTTTGCTAATAGCACTCATAAACGTTGTGAACATCCTTGGCAAAGCAACAACATCATGGAGAACAGCAGGTAGACCCCACTGCCAGAAAAGTATCAGTGCACCTTATGCCAAATATATTTAAGATAAGTAGATAATAGATAAGTTTATTCATCAAGTCTTTCTGGTTTTAATATGTAATCCCCAATTGTCTGTACATCTGCAAATATCTAAAGATTTCCTAGCTTTAATTGTGGTGTGGAGTTGTGAAGTATCAGGCAAAGGCCTGATGCATCTGCTCCACACAGCTTTTTATCTGTCTGTTTTCATTCTGTGGTTTTAGTTTCACTCCATTGTTCACGTACCCCCTCCTTCCTACACACACTTCAAACTGGGCTCCTCTGCACCACTCACCAGCTGCTCGTGGGCCTGCCATAAAACATAAAACATGCCATAATAAGAGATTTTAACTCATGTATAGTTTTTGGGGGTTTTTTGTTCTTTTTATGCCAAACAACGACTTAACTCTTTAATCTCATTCTCTCTGTCCATTGGCTCTTTCTCCACTATCCCCCACATCCACTTGTTTGGCACAGTCCCTCGCCTCTTCCCCCTCCCTCTCTGATGGGATGTCAGAGGAGGATTTTGGCCTATGGGTGTAGGAGTAGCAGGGGCTCTCTATCTCGCTCTCTCAGTCTACCCTGAGTTTCCCTTTTTTGCAGCTGAGACCTGGATGCCTGTGGATGGTACTTCTGAGCACCAAAAATAGACCAACAAGGAAATGGCACTGTAAGGTAAGGGATCAGGAGAATTATTACCTTTTATTATATTTTTACATCTACAATCTAGCCTCAGTGGGTAATAATTGCCTGTTTATGCCAGCCCCAAGTCTGAATAAATGGTTTTGCTAAAATATCTGAACCACTGCACTACGTGAACGGTGATTTTTTTTGTGAGAAACCCTAAGAAAATTGAGATGGAGTTGTTTCTTTGTGACCATTGTCAAGGATGCACTATTGCTTCTAGTGAAGGGTCCGCCACATGCTGGTCTCCATGGAGATGCTATTGCTTTGCCTGGAATGTTCCACAGTATGACATTGTATTTGTCTATCTTCATCTCCAAGTTAGAGGTCAAATCTGAGGAAAGGTGAGCATGCTCACAGTAAGAATGCAAGTTTTTCCGAGAAGTGTTAGCAATAAACATGAACAAATGCTATGTTGATAAGATTAATCAATCCCTTATCATGAAACATTCAAGGCAAAGCGATTCAGCTCCTTCATGGACACAAACATGTGCTGTATAGTTAATCAGAAAAGTTACATAGTTCACCTTTAAAGCTGATGTACTGCATTTGGGTAGGTTGTTAGTTGGCCTGCCTTACAGAGTTCTCTACGAATCTTCTTCCACAAAGTTGTTGGTGTACTATCATTTGGGAACTGTGGTGGAAGAAGTAGTTTTTGCTGAATTTTGTTCAACAGATACAACTGAATCTATTGTTTTTTGTTTTGTTTTTTTCCATTTGTTTGTTTGCTCAAACAATGAAGTTGATCAAAATAAACCCTCAGTTTTTTCAGTAGGTCTCAGACAACAATAAAAAAAAAAAAATAAAAATAAATAATAATTATTAAAAAAACATGGTTCTTTTAAGTCCTGTTCAAAAATGTAGTGGAGTAGAAAGTATAGAGACATACTCTCAAATGCAATGCAGTAAAAGTAAAAAGTACTTTTAAATTTACTTAAATTAGGTACAGATACCTAAAATTTACCGCTGGTCTGGAATCGCTTCTGTTTTAAAGAGTCTTTAAGAGTCTAGTGCTGGTGTTGTTCACTAAAACACTGTAATTGAAAACAATAGTGAAAGTGTATAACATTATAGTGCAGAACACAAGTACAGTGAAGTGACAGAAGGAGCAGATGTATGGCTAATGTAAACGCCTTTTCTGCTTGGTTTGACTAAATGTTGTGGAGTAGCAGACAGGAGCATAACTCTAGTGTCAGCTCACAAATTCAGCCATTGTTTCAGCAGAGTGCACAGATGGGCTTATTCAGAGTGGCTGGTCTAAATGGAGAGTGTGTGGGGCTGCTCTAGGACCTTGCTGTTTGATGCTTGAGTAGAAGTAAAGGTATTCTGTGTTGTAGCTGTGTAGAATCAATCATGTTTTTAACTACTGTGCTAAAACGACCATGAAACAGTGTGTTAAATGTGCCATACCCATCTGTGCTCTGGTCTAGACACTGTAGTCCACTACAACTGGTTTAAGCCTGAGGTATCACTCTGCCTCTGAGTGGAATCTGCAACATAAATCAACTGGAACAGTTAATCAGCTTTGAATATTTCTTTAGATAAAGTACTACAGAATTGTGTGCATGTGTTTTTGTTAGTTTGTTTTGTTTTGTTTAAAAACGCTATTATGAAAGAAGTATCAGTGTCACAAACAAATAACACAGTGTTAAAATCTGGACACAGACTTTAACTCAGACTAGTTTCTATATTTTTTGATCTATGTTACAATGATCAAACTGTATGAAAAGCATTATCTCTCTGTTCTACTTTATGATGGCATGTGGTAATACAGGAAGTGCTCCACTGCGATTTTAAAATCCATACACCTTCAATAGAATCATTTGGATAATTTCAGCCCTGGAATTGCCAATCTCTTCTGAACTAAAGATAAAAGGTAGCTGTTCACTTAACTACCATAAGGCGAAACAAATTTTTATCTTGGAGATCTCAGGAGATGCAGACAGACTAATAACAAATGGTTACTCCTACATGTGTAAATGAAACAAAGCACAACTCCAGCTATGTTTTGGATGCAACAACCCCATTCTGACAAGTTTTAAAGCTCACAAAAGTCTATTTTACGTAATGTAGGATCTTTAAAAGCTGTATTCTGTCTGGCTATGATACTGCCCTGGCCGTAGTCAGCTGTTGAGCCATGTGGTGCTGAGACATACTCACAAACTGCATTGATAATTATGGCTTGATTTATGATGCATAGATGATGTGGATATGAGAAAATGGGATTGATGAGCGAGGTTTTCCCTGCTAGCTTTTTGATGGATCAGCTGCTGTCACTGCTCTGGAGGTGTTCAAGGAAGATATAGCCTCCCCACTGTTTTACTCATGTAAAGTGGTTTGCCCCGTCTTGTAAAGGTGAGTCCCTGTGGCTGATGCATGATGTAGCTTTACCTTTTATTCATGATTACGGAGGTACAAATTTCACTATAAACTGTGGGAGCGTGTGATGTGGCTAGAACAGTAATGCCATCCATCCATTTTCGTCCGCTTATCCGGGGCCGGGTCGCGGGGG